CACCCCACCCCGCGCCAGCCCCTCCGCGTCCCCTCGCCAGTGCTCGCTCCCCACGGGACGCCATCTCCGCCACCTCACGGCGGCACCGGACCCGACGGCGGGATGCCCAGGCCAGCGCCGCGCCGCCCCGCACTCACCAGCCCAGCACCAGGCCGCTGGTGACGAGGAAGCAGACGAAGACGACGGTGATGTAGAAGAGCGGCGAGTACTCATAGAGTGTGACGAGGAACACGGCGGCCATGAGCGCGGGTCACCCCCGGCAGCGCCGCCACAGAGACCCCCCACCCCCGCCACACACACCCCCTCTCTGCGCCTGCGCCTGCGCCGCGCGCCTGCGCAGTGCGGCCCCGACGCCGCTGCCCGCGCCCTCAGTTGGGCGGGGCCGCGTTGCCTGGCGACGCGACGGCTCCGCCCCTAACGGAAAGCGGCGCCATGGCGCCCGTGAGGCTGCTGGTGGTGGTTCTCGTCATGGCGGGGCGGGCAGGGAGCCGCCTCGCTGCTTCCTTCCATGGAAGCGTTGGGATAAGGCACTTAAGGACTAACTTGGCCATTTGGCCACGCTTCCACGGGGCTGGCTCCAGTCCTGCTGGAAAAGTGCGGTTTCGCCTCAGGGAAGCGGCATGGAGGTCCCTAACACCGTTCACCTGAGGCCGCGCTTGGTGTGTGAATCTCCACATAAGTGTTCGCTCTCGCTTAGTCCCTTTTTATTCCCCAGTGCCACGGGGTCTTTGAGGAATGAGGTGTTTCCTTCCCTCGCAAACACACACAAAATGACAGCGATTTTCCGGTGCACCAAGGCAGACCTCTGCCTGTTATGGCAGAGATGTTGGCCTAGCACTCGCCGCTCCTGTCCGAGATGCTGGTTTACATCCAGGATTGCTCCCGGCTTGTGTAGTCTCTGACCGCAACATTCCCCTCTTTCATCCTCACAAAAGTAGCACATAACATCAGACTTGGAGTGTACGTTGTGGGGGAAAACTGGATACCACCTTCCCATACTCGAATAACTCAATACACACATTATTTCTTTGCAGTCACGTTTCAAATAGCATCAACCCTGGATCAACGAAACCGCCGTTCCACTTAATTTTGTGCCTGTGACTAGGGCCTGCACCACAGAGCGCCAGTGCGGCCAGCCGTGTTTTCCTGGTTCCCTCGGCTACAGAGGCGCATCACGGGGCAGCCCTGTCGCGACAGCGCCCCGCGCCCCTATCGCGACAGCGCCCGGTGCCGCTTGACCCTCCGCGCCGCCCGTAGG